GCCAACTAAGGGATTACAATGTCAAATAATTAAAATTACAAGACACAATTAAAAACAAGCACAAATTGAAGGAACACTAAAGCAAGATATCTAGGGTAAAAACTCTTACCCTAATTCATTCCCCCCTCAAAACATTCCCTGACTAAAACTTCCCCCTCACCATTCTCCTCTCAAACCTCGTCCACTCGCACAGCCCTAGCAGAAACCCACAGCCATCGTGGCCTAAAAGCTCCCCCAAGACTCCGGACGACAAAGGCTAGCTCCTACGATAAGAAGGTAAGGTTTTACTTTCTGTTCTCTGGCCACTGCTAGTTTTTCTTTATTTTTCTCGCAACCAGTTTCTAGTTTTCATAGTTACTCTTCATAGGCCAGGGTTAATCCTTGGATAAAAATCTGACATAGTTTCTAGTTTTAACTGGCTTATTTGTGCACCTTCCACCCTATAAAGGTGTCTTTTGAAGAAGTTCCAGAACTTGTAGCTGGTCGCCGGGTGTTTATACATAAAGGGCATGCCATGTTGCAATGAATCATGTAAAAACTTTCTATTAATCATTTAATCTTATCTAAAAAATTGAATATTATGAACACAAATCGGTATTCATACTTGCTATCCCCCTTTTCATCTGATTTTTTCAGGTGGTTTCTCTTGTTGTCACACAATTTTGAAGTTATCTATCAAAGGCACTCGTTTTAATAAACATGTTTCGTTTTTGTCCATTCAGGTCTCATGAAAGTTGCCTTATATTCATTGTTCTTCTCAAGCATTGAATACGTCTACTATAATTTAGAACTTGTGTGTCAACTTGATTTGCATAACCTCTTGCACATATCCTAGATTTTTCTAGCTGAATTACATATCACGGCACATGTAGTTTGGACAACAAGCTTTTACTGCAATGTCAACGAGTTGCATGAACAAATATCATTGCACGTGTTCTTATTTTTCGTTAATATGCTTTCATGAGTATGACTAGAAACACGTTTATTAAAATTTCTTGGAACATAATCTATGCTATGCTATCATGATCTCCACATTCACTAGAAGAATAGTTAGTATTCTAGCTATTGTCTTCATTCTGATAGGCAGCTGTGATTTTGGTGCTCAGAGGTTACTTCACTCATCCTCGGTCATATTCCCCAAAACAAGGCAAAGCACTTGACATTTTATATTTTTTGTTTATTTTTTGTTTCATTGGTGTCACCATCTGCATACTGATATTATAGTTTCAAGCAGAATTACAGAGATAAAGAAAGTATATCAGCTATTATTTATTTTTAATACGATGATGACAATTACATTTCAATTCGACCGCTCTGTTACCTCCTCTTTCTAACATATTGTACAATGAACATAACCAATATGTTTCATTCCAAAGTAAAATAAAATAATCAGGATGTTTGACTATATTTTTTTTTTTGCTACGACTTGAATTTGTGGAGAATGTTGTATGTTTTCTGCTTGACAACTCTGTTTGCATCCACTTATATGCATTCTCAAGTTGTAGTTTATAAGTTTGTTTATCTTTAAATAAATATTCCTTTAATATTTTTATTTATATTGTCACTTGTATTTTCAGATATGTCTAGTGAACCACAAAGTTCTTCAACACCCATTGGTGTTTCAAGAGTTGAAGAATTTTTTGTGAATGTTGAGTTTTTAAATTATTGTAGAATGATGACAAACAACCGAAAGAAATTATTATATCAGTACCTTCGAAAGAATCAATAATGTGACAAATTAAAAGGTTTAATATTTGAATTTGTTAAACTTGTATTTTTTACTTCATATTTATAATGATTTCATGTTTTTTTATAGAATAATTTATTATTATTTATTTTCTTTTACTCTTTTTTATAGATGCTATGTATTGAAGCTTGGGCATGTTACTGTTATTTTTTTTGGTGAATTTGGGTTTTGTGGTACATGAACAGGTAGATTGGAATATTTTGTTGTTGGGTTTCATGTTTTCTATGGAAGATTTACCTTTGTATTTTGAGTTTTAAAACACTACTTTTATGGCAAGAGGAGTTGTTTTGCTTTGGGGAGAACCATAACTACTCTTGTATGCATTCTATAATGTTTCTGAAATGAGTTCATATTATCAAAAAAAAATGTATTGGTGATTGTTTAAAGGGAAAATTATTTATATATTTTAAATGTAATATAAGATTTTTGTAGGATCAAATTCGAGTTCGAGTTCTAGCTTGAATCGAGTTTGAGCTTGAATCGAATTTGAGCTTGAATCGAGTTCGAGCTTGAATCGAGTTCGAGCTTGAATCGAGTTCGAGCTTAAATCGAGTTTGAGCTTGAACCGAGCTCAAATTCGAGTTTGAGTTTGAGCTTGAATCGAGTTCGAGCTTGAATCGAGTTCGAGCTTGAATCGAGCTCGAGTCTCGAGTTTCAATCGAGCTTTTGATTTTTTTTTGATTTCTAGCCTTTTCGAGTTCGAGTCGAGTTTCAATATTTTCTTTCGAGTTTGAGTCGAGCTTGAAAATGTTAGGCTCGCGAGTTTTCGAGTCGAGTCGAGCTTACATTTAAAGTTTTCGAGTTCGAGTCGAGCTCGGCAATACTCGAGCTTGACTCGGCTCGTTTACACCCCTAAACACAACCAAATTAACCAAAAACATTTGGGATTTACCCATGTCGGTGATGGAGGGAAATCAGCGGCGACAGCCTAACCCACTGGTCGAGTTTTGATCGCACGGAGCTGGTGAGTCTTCCTAGGGTGACGGTGAGGCGAGACGACGATGGGGGCGGACAGAAAACTTGAAAAATATCGAGGTGACGATGGGGTATTCGACGCAACTTCAACCTCTCACCGATGACGAACGTCGACCGATCTGGAGCCTTCCATGGTTGAGGTTTGGTCGGGGTGGGATGCTGGTTCGATTGGGATGGGCGGTGACGTGCACCGCCAGTCGAAAGAGGAAGAATCGAGGAGGGAGATACAACAGCTAGGGTTGGGAATTGGGGATTTTCGGTTCTTCGAAACTGGGGGGTTTAACTGGGTTTATTATTCACTGTCAATAGAAAATGGACAAATTTAGGGATGGGTCCCCAAATTTCCTGCAACTTTTTAAAACTAACTATAAGTTTCATAAACTTATACTTTGACCCTTAAATTGGGATGTTACAAAATAGACAAGGTTATTGGCGGATTAACAACGTTGTTGCAGTTGGTTCTTTGTTCTGGCGCCGAGGAATGGATTTATATATTTAACTGTCTCGCGTATTATGTGGAATTTTCTTAAATTTATAACTGTAAAAGTCAAATATAGTCTGCAGAAATATGACATTTTACCATGTAAATTAAGGGAAGAAAAAACATAGTTACCACCTAGTGCGGGTACAAGGTTGTATGTGGATAACTTAATGTTTGCCCTAGGCATACTTCTTGTCCTCTTTTGCCTGTCTCAGTTCAAGGGTGCAACGCCAATCAAATTCCTCCAAAATTTCTTGAACCTAACGTTTTTACAAGAAAAACTCTTGGTTTCAAGTTTTTTATTTTTCTTATATAAACAACCCTAGCTCCGCTTTAGGCTCTTTCCGGGCTTTGTTGATGATATATTTAATATTCTAAAAAGAAAAAGAAAAAAATGGCCCCAGGTTTTTCGTCAAACGAGTTTCAAAGCTCAGGTAAGGTTGAAGAAGTGATGGTCTCGATTTCAAACGTTCGACCATAGCTTTTTATTCAAACCCTTTCCTGCCTCTAATGGCGGAAAACAATGGTGATGATTGTACCCGCCGCTATTTAAAAGATACCAATAAGAGACTGAAACGAAATATCAGTATACCCGAATCGATCGGAAGCTCCGGAAGTGTTTCTAATGGTGGAAACAATGACGGTAGCAGAGGGATGAGTCGGAGTGCCAGCAATGGTAGTTTGGGTTGTTTATCAAAACTTCACTTCAGAGATCATATATTGACTTAAAGCCAAAAATACCTTGCTACCGAGGCAGTAGAAGAGGCGGCGACGAAAGCGGTGAGAATGGCTACTGGTTATGAAGAAGACAGAGTCGAGGAAGACAAAACGGCTTACGGTATGAGATTGGTTCAGCTTCTCATCGCTTGCGCCGAGGCTGTGGCTTGTCACGACAAGGCGCATGCATCAGCGTTGTTATTGGAGCATCATGTTTCGTACAAGGATTGACGAACCGAATCATTTCAGTTCACCCTTAGGGACGACGGTAGGCCGCGTCCAGCTACCGTCGGTCATGAACGTAATGGACATCAATGGAGTCACCTTATCCAAAGCCTTGTCGTCGTCACCCTTGGTGGCGGCAATGGTAAAAACGGTGCACACGCCTTCGGATAGCCGTATTCGGCCTCTGCATTGACCCGGTTCGACACCATCAGAAATGAACTTAAAGCATGTACAAAATCCATGGGAATCAACTTTGAATTCGCCACAGTGGAAAGCAACTTAGAGAACCAAAAACCTGAAGATATCGAAGTATACGATAACGAAGTTCTTGTCGTGAACAACATTCTTCAACTTCATTGTGTCGTTAAAGAAAATAGGGGAGCTTTGAACTCAGTTCTTCAAATGATCCATGAGCTACCTCAGAAGCTTTTGGTGCTAGTCGAGCAATATTCAAGCCACAATGGGCCCTTTTTTCTTGGCAGATTCATGGAAGCACTCCATTATTACTCAGCAACTTCAATTCACTGGACGCAATGCTACCCAAGTACGACACCGAGCGAGCCAAGATAAAGTAGTTTTACTTTGCTGAAGAGATTAAGAACATAGTGAGCTGCCAAGGACCTGATTGGGTCGAACGGCATGAGAGAGTCGACCAATGGCAACGACGAATGAGCCGAGCAGGTTTCCAGGCTGCACCGTTGTGGTTATTGAGTCAAACCAAACAATGGCTCGGGAACAATAAGGTTATCGAAGGTTACACTGTTGTTGAAGATAAATGGTTGTTGGTTCTTGGCTGGAAATGTAAGCCCATTATCGCTGTTTCTTGCTGGAAATGCTGAGAACCGAGAAAACACCATGGATGATCCATGGTACAAGCAACTTGTTTGTTTAAATTTCAATAAGACAATGTTTCCGTTAGCCGGAATGGGATGGTTATTGTAAACCAGTTTGTGATTTTATAAAACTTGTTGAATATCAATAATACAGCTCTAGTGGATGCTTACAGTCATATCTGACGAAGTTTGTTTAAAAATTGAGGCAAGGCACCGAAAGTTGCCAATTACTTTCAATACAAATGGTGCAAGTGGACATTTTTTTGTTGAATTTTTAAATGGTAAAATCATAAACTTTAGTCCCTAGACTTTAGGGTATTTACAAGATTATTCCTTAACCTTCAATTATAAATACCCTATCCTATTTAGCTTCAAAACCATCCCAAATCATTCTAGCTTTCTCCCAATACTAGAGAATTTAGAGAGTTTTCTTGAGACTTGTTTTCTCCTTTTTATCAAGAGAGAATTATCATTGTTTTCTCCTTGGTAGATCGAGAGAAGTTGTAATTCCTATTTTCTCATAGTAAAATTCTTCTACCGTTGTATGTGGGTTTCACCTTATATTATTTATGGGTTTTCTACGTAAATTTTATGTCTTCATTATCTTCATTATTATTTTCTCAAATTACCAGTTGCGATTTTGCTCTATCCGATAGTCGTATTCCGCAATAATTGGTATCCGAGCCATATTTGAGTGTGTAATATCTACTTATTATCATTGTGGTTGCCACCAAAAGGTGGATCCTCCAACATAAGAAAGTAAGAAGGTATTACCCATTCTTTGAAAGTTCTAGTGAACTATTCACGATAGTGAAATAGTGGGAGCTATCCGTATTAGAAGCTATGACAACAAAATTTGATATTGAAAAATTCAATGGGAGAAATTTCTCATTGTGGAAATTGAAGATGAAGGCCATCATAAGGAAAGACGGTTGTCTAGCGACTATCAGTGAAAGGCCGGTAGATTTCACAGATGACAACAAATAGATCAAAATGGACGTGAATGCTATGGAAAACTTTCATCTAGCATTAGCAGATGAAGTATTGTCAAGCATCGAGGAGAAGAAGACAACTAAAGAGATATGGGATCATCTCACCAAACTGTATGAGGCCACATCGCTGCACAATAAAATTTTCCTTAAGAAGAAATTGTACACTCTTCGGATGCCAGAATATGCTTCAGTGACGGAGCACTTAAACACACTAAACATTTTATTTTCTCAGCTTACATCCTTAAGATGTATAATAGGAGAACAAGAACGAACTGAACTTCTACTTCAAAGTCTATCTGATTCGTATAATCAACTCATCATCAACTTGACAAACAATAATGTCACCAGTCTAGTCTTCGCTGACATTGCAGCTGCTGTTCTACAAGAAGAAAATCGGCTCAAGAACAAGGAAGATAGAAAAATAAATATGCAACAAACAGAAGTGTTGACAACGATGAGAGGGAGATCAACAAAACGTAACCAAAGCAGCAGTCACAAACATGGTAGATCGAAGTCGAGAAGCGAGAAGAATTTAAAGTGCTACAACTGTGAAAAGAAGGGTCACTTGAAGAATGATTGTTGGAGTCTAAATAAAAATTTCAATCCACAAGGTAATATCACAAATACTATAGATGATGGAGATGCTCTATGCTGTGAAGCATCAACCACCGTGGAAGGAAGAAAAAGATTTGTAGATATATGGCTCATTGATTCGGGAGCAACATATCACAAGACCTCAAGAAGAGAATTATTCCATCATTATGAACCTATCTCAGGAGGATCTGTGTATAGTTGCAATGATCATGCCTTATAGATCGTTAAGGTGGGAACCATCAAATTGAAAATGTATGATGTGACAATTAAAATTGTTCGATGTGCGGCACGTGAAAGGCCTGAAGAAAAATTTATTATCCTACGGATTATTGGATATTAATGCAAGCAAGATTGAAACAAAAATGAATCATAAAGGTGTTCCGTGGAGCGCTTGTGATGATGAAAGGCGAAAAGATAGCAACAAACTTGTACATGCTGAAAAGATAGACTTTGCTAGAAGCAGAAGCCTCTGTTGCCTCATGTAGTTCAGATTCTGCAATGTTATGATATCATAAACTTGGACACATGTTAGAACAAGGAATCAAAGTTCTTATGGAGCAAAAGCTACTTCCAGTCTTAACAAAGGTATCACTTACTTTGTGTGAGCATTGTATAACAAGTAAGCAACACCGGTTGAAATTCAACATATCAAATTCTAGAGGCAAAAGAGTTCTATAATTGGTTCACTCTGACGTATGGCAAGCACCAGTTACATCCCTAGGTAGAGAAAAATACTTTCTCTCATTTATTGATGACTACTCTAGGAGATGTTGGGTGTACCCTATTAAAAAAAGTCAGATGTGTTTTCAACTTTCAAAAACTTCAAAGTGCGGGTGGAACATGATTCTGGAAATAAGATCAAGTGTTTTAGAACAGATAATGGAGGAGAATACACAAGTGAAGAATTTGATGACTTTTGTAGGAAAGAAGGCATCAAAAGACAGTTTACAGTGGCAAACACTCCTCAACAAAATAGAGTGACAGAGCGGATGAACAGAACCTTGTTAGAAAGAACAAGATCAATGTTGAGAGTTGTAGGCCTAGAAAAATTATTTTAGGCAGAAGCAGTCAATACCGCCTATTATTTGGTAAATCAATCTCCATCAACTACAATAGAGCTAAAGACACCAATGGAGATGTGGACTGGTAAACCAACTGATTATTTAAACCTCCATGTATTTGGAAGTATTGTGTACGTGATGTACAACTCCCAAGAAATTTCAAAGTTGGATCCAAAATCCAGGAAAATACAAATTCTTGGGGGTATGTTGATGATGTAAAGGGGTATTGCTTGTGGGATCCCACTGCTCGCAAAGTGATTATCAACATGGATGTTATCTTTGTAGAAGATAAACTACAAAGAAAAGAAGATGATGATAGCGTTGAAAAGTCAGAGACTACACAGATATATGTGGAAAAGGAGCTTGAACAAGGAGATTCTTCTGAAGCAGAACCAACACATGATGAACAAGAACTAGAGAGTTATGAAGCTCCTACAACTCGTCAATCAGATCGTGTGAGAAGACGTCCCAATTGGCACTCAGATTATGTTATAGAAGAAAATATTGCATAATGCCTTTTAACAGAAGACAGTGAGCCATCAACATACCAGGAGGCAATAAACAACTCGAATGTTTCACTATGAATGACGGCGATGCAAGAAGAAATCGAAACCCTTCATAAAAATAATAAATGAGACCTTGTGCCACTACCACAAGGAAGGAAGCCAATTGGTAACAAATGGGTCTTCAAAATCAAGCGAAATGATGACGATCAAGTGGAGAGGTATCGTGCAAGACTGGTGGTCAAAGGATATGCTCATAAAGAAGGTATTGATTTCAATGAAATATTTTCTCCTGTGGTTCGAGTAACAACAATTTGAGTAGTCTTGGCAATGTGTGCTACATTGAACTTACATCTAGAGCAGCTAGATGTTAAAACAACTTTTCTTCATAGAAATCTTGAAGAAGAGATTTTATATGCTCCAGCTTGAAGGTTTTGAAGAAAATGAAAATAATAACTTGATTTGCATGTTGAACAAATCTTTGTACGGTCTAAAGCGGGCGCCGAGGTGTTGGTATAAGAGATTTGATTCCTTCATTATGTGCCTTGGATACAACAGACTTAATGCATACCCTTATGTTTATTTCAAGAGGTCTGATGATAACGATTTTGTTATATTGTTGTTGTATGTGGATGATATGTTGGTTGCAGGACCTAACAAATATCATATTGAAGAATTGAAGGCACAACTGGCAAGGGAATTTGAAATGAAGGACTTGGGATCAACAAACAAGATTCTGGGGATGAAAATTCACCGAGACAGAAGTAGTAGGAATATTTGGCTTTCACAAAAGAATTACTTGAAGAAGATCTTGTCACGATTCAATGTGCAAGATTGTAAGCCAATTTCTACCCCTATTCCTATTAACTTCAAATTATCCTCCAGTATGAGTCCTACCAGTGAAGAAGAGAGGATGGAGATGTCTTGAGTTTCGTATGCATCGGTAGTGGGAAGTTTAATGTTCGCTATGATAAGCACAAGACCAGACATTGCACAAGCAATGGGAGTGGTTAGTCGGTACATGGCGAATCCAGGCAAAGAGCATTGGGATACAATAAAGAGGATCCTGAGATACATCAAAAGGACCTCAAATGTTGCATTATGTTACGTAGGAGAAAACTTACTAATTAATGGGTATGTAGATTCTGACTATGCAGGGGATTTGGATAAATGCAAATCTACTATAGGATATGTGTTCAAAGTTGTTGGTGGAGTTGTAAGTTGGGTTTCAAAATTGTAGTTAGTTGTGGCTATATCCACAACAGAGGTAGAATATGTAACAGCTACACAAGCCAGTAAAGAAGTAATTTGGTTGAAGATGCTATTGAAGGAGATTGGGCATAATAAATAATATGTCTCTCTGTTTTGTGATAGTCAAAGCGCCTTGCATTTAGAAAGGAATCCAATATTTCATTCAAGAACAAAAACATACGAGTTCAGTACCACTTCATTCGTGAAAAGGTGGAAGAAGGGACGGTAGATATGCAGAAGATTCATACCAAAGACAACATAGAAAATTTCATAATGAAGACGATCAATGCTGATAAATTTACTTGGTGTCGATCCTCTTGTGGCCTGTCAGAAACGTAAGCAACATGAAGATACAAGGTAGAAAGAATGGTGTGAAGATATGATTGTTCCAATCAAATCTTCAAGTGGGAGATTGTTGAAAATTGAGGCAAAGCACCGAAAGTTGCCAATTATTTTCAGTGCAAGTGGACATGTTTTTTTGTTGAATTTTCAAATGGTAAAATCACAAACTTTAGTCCCTAGACTTTAGGGTATTTACAAGATTAGTCTTTAAACTTCAACTATAAATACTCTATCACATTTAGCTTCAAAATCATCCCAAATTATTCTAGCTTTCTCCCAATACTAGAGAATTTAGAGAGTTTTCTTGAGAGTTGTTTTTTCCTTTTTATCAAGAGAGAATTATCATTGTTTTCTCCTTGGTAGATCGATAGAAGTTGTAATTCCTATTTTCTCATAGTGAAATTCTTCTACCGTTGCCCGTGGTTTTTCCCTGTATTATTTAGGGGTTTTCTACGTAAATTTTGTGTCTTTTTTACCTTCATTATTATTTTATCAAATTATCAGTTGCGATTTTACTCTATCCGATAGTCGTATTCCGCAACAGTTTGAACAATAATGAAAATAATTAGATTGGATTCAAGTGTATGTAAATTAACATTTAACTCATTCTTTTTAGTGATTAAACTGGCTTTAGTTTCTTCCAAATTTGGGTCTAAGACTATATATGTGGTATTTAATACTAGTCTTATTATATTCACAGTTAAGTCGATCTAATTTTTTAATATTATTTTTTTCATTTTTAATATGTTAATTTAAACAATATCAAACTTTTCGTTACTCCGTGAACAAAAGTGCTACAAAATCATTACATTTATCTCATAAATTGAGTGTGAAATCAAGTCAAATTAAATGAATATATTTAAATTTTTTAAATTAAATTGAATTAAGTAAATATATTATATCGCTTAAAAATATAATATTATCTATAAATTAATATTACATCGTATTGATTGATTTTAATTCGACGATCGAACTGATTCAGAAACTAAGAAGAATTTAATAGTATAAATATTATATCAATTTCATAAATTTTTTACATGTAATCCATTTTTCAATCACCATGGCTAGAATTAAAGCCGGCAAATCAATAAAGTTTGATTACTTAAGTTCAATGGAAAAAAATTAAGTTTGAATTTTAGATGTAATTAAACAATGATTTTTACACGTGAACAATGACTTACAAGTATTAAAATGCTTTATAGCATATTAAATTTAAGGTAAGGCAATGGGAGGAATTTTTTAGTTTTTAAGGTATTTTTTGTCCATTTCTTTCTGTTCATTAATGGACGTTTTAATAGGAACCTTTTATTATTACCAAAGTTTCTCTCTCTTTTTTTCTCTTAATTTAAGTTTAATTCAATTGTTTTGTTGAGTTTAATCATTGATATTTCCTATTGATCATTGTATATATATATTTTTTAAAACAATTTTCTCGACTTAATCTATTTCATTTACAATGTTAAGATTTAAATCTTTAATCTTTTTTAATGAATGTAATGGTTCATCTTACTAAACCAATTAATTATTATATTTATTAAACATAATTTAATAATGATTTTATTTAAAATAGTTTAAGATTTAATTTATTTTAAGACTAGTTAAAAATGTTATGCTTCAATTAAATCAATTTGAGGAAGAATAACTAAAAAAGATCGGATAGAGGCTTTAATTTGTTAAGATTGCATAAAGGGTTTTGTAGGATGAATCATTCTCATTTTTGATTGAGTAAATTAGATTCTTCTAAAATAAATAAAAAATTATTTATTGTCAATTTTGAAAATAAACAACTGGGGTGAATAAATAAGATCGACGTTCATTTCTTTATCCATTTATGATGTTCACTTCTTTATCCATCTATTCTACTATAATATATATATATATCTTTTAATATTTATACATTCTTTCATTTAATTTTGATTTAAAAAATTTAATGAGAATAAATAAGTGAAAAAATGAACATCATCACCTATTATCCTCACTTATCCATTTTTAAAATTATATTATTATGGTTATTTTGAAAAGGTTTAAATTACTCATTATTGAAATTGAGGACTTTAATGTTCTTTTTACCATTAATTAAGTATACCAAGTGGAAAGATAACATGCTGTAGTTACTTGGACCCAGTGTGCCTCTGTGGGTCGTTCCAATTCAGCAATTACTTTTGTTATTAGCATGGAATTATTATTATTTCTTGATGATCTAAATTTAAGTATTATAGATGTGTGAATATTTTGAGGTCATAAGATCGAGTCTTATAGAGGACATTTCATAATTTGGAGGTCTCTTATGGAAGTTGCTCTCAACCTAGTGTTGGGAAAAATCTACTATCTTATTCCCTTTATCTCATTACATATAAAACAATGAACAACTATTTTTTAAATGTGTGACATTAATATCAAAAAATTAAGGGTTATATTTAAATATATATTACCTATTATTTAACTCAGACTAATAAAAAAATTATACCAAACCCGAATCATCCATATAAGAGTACTTGCAATTGCAAATAGAGAAGGGCAATTCGGTAACTTGGGCTTTGTAAAAGGTACAATTTAGGCTCGTGTGGGGGAAACCAAGGGAAAGGTGGATTGAGAAAGTAAGAACCCTTACCACATCAGCCTTCAGTACCTCGGCGGCGGCGGCGAAACGTAGCAGCGCCACCTTCTTATCTTACGGCTCTCGCAACTATCTTAGCGTGAGCCACTTAGCAGCATTCCACAAGAAATTCAATCTTTTCACAAAATCCCCTTTCGCTTACACCAAACACCGTGCTAGTAAATCCACCCATGGAATCTTCCTTCCCCACTTGGTCGCTTCGGTGGTTCGATTCTAATTTATCTTGCTTCAACTGGACTGCCTATCTCTAAATTTTTTGAAAATTTGAAGTTTATATGGTTGCTTTTTTTATTATTTAATTCTTTGGTTTTGGCTTCAGGAACAAGTTGAACAAAGTTACATCATGGTTAAACCTGATGGCGTACAGCGTGGCCTTGTAAGATTTGCTTCGAATTTTATTTTTGTTTAAATCTTGTGCTCCATAAGTATTTCTGGTTTTTGAATTGCAGAAAATTACCCCTTTTTTGGTTTGTTTTATACTGGTTTATGACTGAATGTGCAGGCAACTTCAGTAAACCTGTGTTCCTGTTGTGTGTATTGTACCATATTACAATTGTTTGCTATGTGTTGGTTCATGTGGAAGCATTTGCAGTAGACTTGACAAATTATGCATTGGTGTTGTCCCTGTGTTGTTTACCATATTTCAATCAAGTTGTGATATGCGTATAACTTGTATTATATAGATTTTGAGCCATACTGATATTTTGCGTGTACGATTTTATTTTGTATCACGATTTAGTTAATTTTGTTGTGCTAGGTAACCGTGTCGTGTCTAATATTGTCGAACTCCATTTTAGTATCCAAAAAGGGAATTGTTTATATTAGAATTTTTGTAATTTTGGTTGAGTTTTATTTTTCTTGTTTAGGTTGGAGAAATTATTTCAAGGTTTGAAAGGAAAGGTTTTAAATTGACCGGCTTGAAGCTATTTCAATGCCCCAAAGAATTGGCTGAGGTTTGTAAGTTTGTTGTTGGGTTGATTTTTCATGTTTGCCGTTTTGGTTTACATTAAGAAATCCAATGTCATCCATCTATCATTGCTTGAGCTTGACTCGACAATGATTGAGCCGCTAGAAGAGCATTGTTCTATGCTTTGGAGCTTACTAATAATATACATTATCGATGTTATGATGGTTATAGGAACATTACAAGGATCTCAAGGCCAAACCATTCTACCCTACACTGATCAACTACATTACTTCAGGACCGGTCGTATGTATGGTATGATTTCATCGAATTTCTTCCCATATCGTAAGTTCCCGGTTTGATTGAGAAATCTGATAACGATTTTATGTTTTCAAGGTATGGGAGGGTGTCGGTGTTGTTGCTTCTGCATGGAAGTTGATTGGGTCTACCAATCCTCTCCAGGCTGAACCTGGTACTATACGAGATCTTGCAGTTCAAACAGGAAGGTTAGCCTCTGTTTACCCTGTTTTCCGTTTCTCTAACTAATTCCTCGACTTCAATTTGCTGTAAATATTCTGATAACGAACATGTGTGCAGGAATGTTATCCATGGTAGTGACAGCCCTGAGAATGGCAAGCGTGAAACTGGTAGGTTCCTCTTAACACTAATAGTATTAAACCAACCATTTGTATATCGAGTGAAAGATCCGACTAGTTCAATTTCATATCTGTTTATTTGAACATTACTTTTAATTTGTTTTCATGTACAGCTCTTTGGTTCAAAGAAGGTGAGTTATGCAAGTGGACACCTGCTCAAGCATCATGGTTAATGGAGTGATCTTTCAGCATATTGTTGATGGAGGCAAAGCACTCTAAGTTATCTTCTGATATTATATTCTCAGTGTCAAAAGTATTCATTTAAGATTTCTGTAACTGCAATACTAGAGCTGTGATTTTTGTATGAGTAATGGAACGATTTCATGTCGGACTCAAAAAATATGAATTTTCAATGTTAAAAGGTTGAAGCAAAGGTTGGTTCAAATGAAATTTCCATTTTCAATTCAACCGATTGATCAATTAGTTTGATAATTCTGTGCTTTTTATGTTTAGACACAAATTTCATGTGAACTTAATATAATTTGGTATTTTTAGTATATAATTAAGAGATTAATTGTTCATTTTTATTAATTAATGTATAAAATTTACAATAAAATATTTATATTAATATTAAATTTTAAAATTATATTGTGTATGGCATGAGTAAGAAAATAGTAAATGTAATTGAAAGCATTTGCAGTAACAAATTTGATCGCTTCTGTCTCCTAAGTCTTAACAAGGTGCAAGATCAATCAGTTTGGTTTAATCTTGGTGTGAAATAAAGAGCATCAAAGGTGCAGGTCATTCAAATCGGTTTCAATTACATGTTCCAAAATCATTTCACCGTACAAATTTGGGTTTTAAATCCGAACATCAATATTCAATAATCACGAAAAAAGGGCTTAAATACTAATGCAAGAACTCAATTGAATCATGTGATAGTACTCCCATTGTTTCTGCTAGATTCATGGTTCCCCTCTTTTGCACTGCTCAAAGATTGAAACTCAATCGAACTCGCAGAACCATTAATGTCTATCATCAATATTTCATCACTGATTGTTGGAGTGCGTTGACGAGAGTTAAATTTGGAAAACAAGTGAAGAATTGACGTACTACTGCTCCGTTGCTGAGAATTCAACTTAGAATCACCCGTCGATTGACAATCGCTTGAACAATCTGTATCGATTACCATAGATTCACCATCGGAATGCATTTCTTGACAAGCTTCGGTAATGGTTCTAGAGTAGCTATCGGTTAAATCTACCGGTGAAATTGGGTGGCATTTAGAACCCAGTTTAAGCTTCATGAGTGTAGTCTCTGTAGATTACAGATGAAAAAAAGAAGGGGAAAACCAAAGTTGATCTTAATGGATTCGTGAAGTTTTAAAGAAGAAAAAAAGGATGAAAATTGAGAAATACCGTAGATGGAGAGAGAATCATCTTTGATGATCTTCGAAGGGGGAGTCTCGAAGCTGTCAAGTGACGGCGACGGTGAAGCTCTTACTCTTCCGAACATCTCTGTGTTTTTCGCCCAAAAATAGCTTTGTTTCGAAAGAAGGATTTGAAGGTATTGGAGGATGGCGGAAACAGAGAGACAAAGGAAATGAAGAAAAGGAGGAGATTTGGATTTGGATTGTTTGGCGCCATAAATTGAAGAAGCGGGAACCTACTCTCTCCACTTCTTTTGGGGTTCCAATTCAAGCTTTTCTCCCGCTAAGTTGCTCTTCTCTTTTCTCATATTTTATTGTACATAAACTACATCAATTACTATTTTTTTCTTCTTATTTTGATCATTAAGTTTTAGAAATAATCATTAATATTATTACATTTTGATCATAAGACCGTCATCACAATTTTTTTTCCATGAAATAATAACCCATTTATATTACTAAACCCAACAATGAACGTGTGAATAAACACACACGCACGCACGCAAGGTAATTTTGAATGCCTTTGTGATCGGCGACTTATCAATTTGTTTATTTGTATTATATTTATGACGTTATAACCGTATTTAAAATATTTTATTCATCTAAATTTTGATACGCTCATGTAATTTGTATTAAGAACACTTTATATATGACCAGCAATCTAAAACTCAAAGCCAGAGTAAAAGTACTGCATAAAAATCACAAAAATGAATGTTATATTCTGTGACCATAAACATGAATGATGTTATATTCTGTGACCATAAACATGAATGAATGAATGCATGTTTACAAATGAATCGAATTTCAAAATCGGAAAAAAAAGAAAAAGAAAAAGAAACAGTCCATAAACTAGCTTGTAATCTCTCTATGCATATACATACATAATACACAGCAAACTAGTATTATTATAGACGGATTTAAGCCTACCTTCTTTGAGTGCCAATCATTTTCTCTACAAAAATCTCCTGAAAGAAGCCGGATTTCGCACAGTTGATCAGTTCACAAACTAGCTTGATGTACAACACACTGATTTAAGCCTGCTATTCTTTCAATTGCCAATCAATTTCTCCGAAAATATCTTCTCCAATAACTCTGCTTTCGTGCTCCTAAAACATGAACAGATAAAATGAACATTATAGTGGAACACGGTTCAATATTTGACAGGTTTTACTGAAAAAATTTAGATCCCTAGAGGCGTCCCTTTGAGCAATTGATATAAATTCTACATTAATCTTCAGCTTAGGGTTCGGAAAGGATACCTTCCAACTTTCCAGCATTATGCAATGCCTCTTCTGCAATAGGCCTCCACTGTTCTGCACATGAGTAGTTTATTCCAAGACCAACACTAAGTCCACTCAGAAGATGTACTGTACGAAGAACTGAAAAAAGTTCCTCGGGGAAAGACTGCCATAGCCCAGAAAAACAACTTGAATGTAGGTTTATTCGGAGTTTAGACAATAAGATCAACTCGAAAATCGGGCTTTTGGAGGTCAGAGGTGGGATATTGGGGTGATTAAACTGTGTTTTATTATCCCCTTACCTGTACATCGATTTTTTTTATTGAAGAATCTTCAGAGAATGGTTGGAGCATTTTCACTCCGGGAGGTAGTTTAGTATCAAACATTGTTTGCGCCAGGCGAAACAATTCCTGTTGCTCGTTCTCACAATTGCTTACAGTACCTATGCTGAGTTCCCTAAAAAAGACAAGATGTCATTATAGATCTCACTTGGTAATTGCAAACTGTTAGGATAGTTATGTCAAACCAATGCAATTATTAACTATGTTACTAGGACTTGAGTGCAAGTCTTGGATTCAGTAAGTGTCCGTCATGGTTTTTCGGACGTGTCCGTGTCCTGTTAGGGTAAAGAGTCCAAGTAAACATAGCTTAGGAAACCCAAAGTGATAAAGAGTCAAAGTAATAGAAAACATAATAGAACACTAAGGAGAAGAAAGTATTAAGCAATATTAAGACTATAGGGGTGATAAAGGAAAGAGAAAGGGACTGGTCTAATATAAGATTTTGGAGAAAATACAATATTGGTTAAGTGGAAACTTATTACTTCATTTCAACCTTAAACGGAAAAGATGAATAAATAGCAGGAAAGTAATATCCCTTGAGATAAGGAATAGGACAACACTACAGTCTTTTGGGAAGTCTAGATGCTTACTTCTTTGCTGCTGCTGCCATCTTACCGCAAGGATTTATTCCTCTTTTAGCCATTTCATCACCAAGATTCAAGATCGGGATTCCATCGATATATTCCATCACTATGACCCTCCTATTTAAACAGATAAATTTCACATCAAGGAAATACCAGGATCAGTAATAAAGCATTAAAATATGTTCATTATGATAAACAACACAAAGAGCACCCGCCATCTAGAAAAAGACAATACGTTAAGAATAGCACACAAATTGAATTATTATACTGTTTTAGCAAAGAGGACGAATAGATGGTTAAAGAGATGATGGCTGAATCTCTATCTTATGCAAAAATCATGAGGAAATGATAAACATATGCATAAGAAATAGGAGCAACTGCTAACAGTAAATGCTAAACACTGAGGTGATATCATTAGAAATAAGAGGCAACACGTGGACCCAAGTGCTATATATGTAAACCTCAATGCAAAGTCCTAACACAAAGCAATGCAGACCCAAATGCAATGGCATATGCATACTCAAAACACATAGCAAGTCCTAGGACAAACCTCTACAAGCAAGATGCAGAGTTACTGATTTACCGGTTCAAATATGTCATTATAAGAAGATAACAACAAGAACTTGCCTTGTAACCAAATCCTTGAGCAATCTCGGAACCTGAACTGGAGATTTTTTGTTGTTCTCGTTTAAGAAACGGTGAATTCTATCCATAGCATTGGCTTCTCTTAGAAAGTCAAATTCATACCCAATCTTGAACAGCACAAAGGATAAATAAATAACAACATACAAAAAGAACAATGAAACGCAAATCATGTGGAATAATATTCTTAATTTACATAATCTAAGAAGTAAATAAAGCATAAGTCAAACCAACAAATAGATTATATCAACGTAATGGCTTGAGAACTGTCTAAAATGATTATAAATTTCATTAAAAGTTTTACCAACATGAATAAGTTGCATTTTTTTATCAGATAGTAGATTCTGGACAAAACAATCATGTAATACTGAATAAAACCACTGATATTCGCTAAATAAAGTACTGTTTGGAATATACAAATAGACCAGATGTACTAACTTGACATCACACCTCATAATAGTTTCATCCAAGTGGAGAAAAATTATTAGTTTAACAAAACTATGAAAAAGGAGAAGATGGGTCTAGCTTTGACCAAATTTTGAAATGGCTTAAGTCAATAAGCTAAGCCATAAGAATAGAATTACATTCTGGTGCTTCAAAATGATTAATTACAAATTGATTAATGAGACGAATCAACTCTAAAAGCCCTTGAGGGTGATAATTGGTCTTTTTTTGGTTTCCCTCTAGTATGATGGTCCCTTATTTATTACTAAAAACCAGACCCATCATTCATCAAACTTTCTCCTAGCCATTGTTATTAATCACTTTAACACTGGAAAGAAAAAGAAAAGAAAAGAAAAGAAGACCTGGAAACACAAGAAATTGGAAAACAAGTATAGATGTGCTTTGAAAGGAATATCAGTGTAAATATTGACACCTGTTTTTCCATTTCCTTGGTAACAGAATACAGATCAAATTTGATAACTGTCTTTTGCATGTACAATGCAAATGCTTGCAAGTTACGGATGTCAGTCATCATCAGATCTTGGACTCCAGGATGTTGCACCTGCCATAAACTTAAAAGTTATAATCTCACACACTAAACTTTGACTTCAGGCTACAATATCATCGTAAACGGGACTTGCCTTCACAACAACATCTTCCACATCACCTTTGAGTCTTGCTCGATGAACACATATAGGTATATCCATAGGATTCTCATAAGCAATATCATACCAGTAAGAATTAAGAGTTAAGCCAATGGCTTAAAAATAATAATAAACAAAATTATCAAAACCGTGTCCTTAAAGCTAAATTGTGTAATAGCCTGTCATATTTTGGCAAGTGTGAAGCCTATTCAATGAAAATATATGTTCTTTATCCATTCTAATTATAGAAAAGCTCCAAATTTGAATACATACCCTTCCCAGCCAACTCATTCAGAATTTCGAGCTATGTAAAGAAATGGAAAGTAGTACCTGCGCAATTGAAGCCGAACCAAGAGGATTTACATCAAACTTTTCAAAAATCTCACCAATACTTCAACCCAACTCCTTCTCTAAAACAAGTTGAACAGCATTAAATGTTGCAGGGGCTTGATCACACATTGTAACAAGCTTTCTCACCCATGCAGCTGGGGCTAGGTCTGGCTTCCCAATAATTTGAGCAACCTAGGAGCAAAGCATCAAACAAGCTATGAACGAATTTTCACAAAAGAAAAGACTTTATGGTTTTCTAAGACCTAAGAATAGCCGAAATCAACAAAAGAAACAATCAATAAGATAATCAAACAGTAAAGAAACTAAAAAGTAAAAAAGAAAAAACCTTGAATTGAACAGTTTTTCACAACAAAACTCAAGTCATCACTCTTCAATTTTCCAACACAGTTTCATACATGAGCATGGAGATGTGACTGTCCAAGGAATATCTAATTACACGAAAAAACTTGAGCAAAATCCGAACATAACTACCCATATCCAAAATTCACACTCTGAGTGTGAGTAACATTGATATTAAAAGGAAATGGAAACTGAAGGCCGAATTTAAGTACCTTAAGGAAGAACCCACCAAGGTCAGAACACATAGCATAAATCTTGTCAGCAGCAAGCTCATGCTGTCTTTCCCACATTGCATGTTGTTTTTGACTATCCTTCACAAAACTCACTCGAACTTGAAACGCCTTTCAAATAATTACCCATCAACCAAATTTCAGCCAGATTAAGAAATAAAGAAAACCCAACAAAGGACATATGTGTGTGTGTAGAGCGAGAGAGATGAGAGTAAAAGAGGGACCTTGTATCCTGTATAAATATCAGCAGCTCGAACCCAGAATTGAAAAGAGCGATGCCATGGCCTCAAATGAAGAGAAACCTTTTCCTGAATCTCTTTGAAATCAAAACGAGAAGCCATGCCATTCATTTTCGTACCCACTTTTTGGCCTTAATAATTGTATAATGTAAAAGAAGAAGAGAATTCAGCATTTCTCAATGTTGAACCATTTAGAAAGGCTGGAACAGAGGGAGAGAGAAGAAGAGGGTGAAGAGTTTCAGAGAAAAAAGAGAAACCATTTGTATAAAGATAAGAATAATGTAGAATTATGAAGATATATTGTGGCGGAGAAGCCCAAGAGAGTAAGATTCCAAAGTAGCGGAGTTTAAGCGAAGAAAGAATATGCAATGCAAATGGTGAAGAAACAAGGGCCGCTAGCTTTATGGATTTGTGCCTTTCAACTGCCTAATGGCTTCGGGGCTTGTCTTTGGATTTTTCCTTTTTTTTTCTTTTTGAGTAAGCAATCCTCCATATTGTCTAATGATATAATTTTGCCTAAGGAAGTCCATACCAGGTTGGTAGAACATAAGGTTTTTAATCTTGTGATCGTGGGATCGAGTCTCACAGAAAACAATTCATAATTCGGAGGTGTCCCATGAAAGAATAAGGGTCAACTAATTAATACTTTTTAAATTATTAAGATTTTAAGTTCAATGTTGTTTAAAGAATAAAATATTAATGGGAGTATTAAAGAATCAAATTTATAGTAACAATGAAGTATATGGTTCAAATTTAATAAAAAATAAAATAAGAAATCAAAGAAACTAGGTAAAATTGAGGAGTTAAATTAAAAATAGAAAAATATTTTCAAAAACAAGAATTGAATATACATATGTATTATACAATAATCTAGGATCATATGGTTTCTATTTGGTAAAAAAAGATGAATTTTACAACTTTACTTAAAATTAGTCCACCTATCTAATTAATGTCTATACGTTTTCGCCATAATTTTAACACGAACCAACTCCAACTAAGGGCTTGCTTAATTTGCATAGACTTTTAATTAGGCATAATAACCGCCACAAATGAGACCAAGCCTTAGATCACCCCCCACAACAATTCAACCAATTGTGGCTCTGCGACAAGCGTTCGGCTTTGACTCCAGAAACTGCCAAATTAAACTATAGAACCAAACAAATTTGAGTGTACTAATATTTGAATAACTTATGAGCCTAATTGAAATTTCTCTTATTTTTAATTAATTCATACTTACAAATCTATAACTCCAACCCAAATAATAGAATTCAAATTCCAACATAAAAATCAAGCTTATTATTAATACCAAATTGAGTGAACTCGACTCGATTTTTAATCTTTAATCAAACTCGTTTATAGTATGAATCATCAGAATCAGAGATAATAAGAACACAATAGAAAAACACCTAATTTGAAACTTTGGTTACTTCACTATCAGAACATTCATTGGCCTACAAGGAACCAAGAGAAAGAGGCAAGAAACGAATGTTCCTAGATTTCTTCGAAACTTCAAAATGTTGGTTACCCATTTCTAATTTATAAGAAATGCTTAACTGATTCATAGATCGATAACACGAGACAACTTCTGGATACGATTCAACAAGTCTCCTTGTCGATCTTGCAGTGAAGCTTTCCTAATGCAATAAAACGCAATAACTCCCTGGAATCAAGTGACTCAAAACAATCAAGCCCAGGGCAGGCAATGTAATACTCGAGCATGGGACTGGGTTTGCATACGAGAATTTAAAGAAAATTGAAGATTTGAGCAGCAATGATAAGAAATGGAGAAAAGGGTGTATGAAACCAAATAAGATGATCAGTGACGTAATCACTTACAGATCAATGGATTCAACTGACACTCCAAAAGCCTTTGCCATGGTTTCAATGGTAACACTTGTAAGATTCGAGAAATTGAGAGTAAACAACAGTTCTGACCTCCCTCGTGTAAAACAGAAAATGTGGATGCAAATAACGGTTCAACTTTATCTGCTCCGTCAGGCCAGCTGTTATTATTCGAAATAAATTGATCAGTGAAATGAATTTTAGCTTTTATCGAATGTTAAGAAAGCAGTGGGACTAGCATGGATATTGTTCCATAGCAATACATACCGAAGATTTGTACTGACAATCATAAAGAGAATTTAAAAATTCCGAAAGCAAGGTATTTTTCCCAAATGATTTATCGATGATTAAAACGAATTCTTTCCTTTTTGATTTGGTGTCTTATATGCATACCTTCTAATTTTTTTTTGAAAGAGGGTACTTTGTATCATAATCAATAACAAAGTACATCACCTCAAAACCACTTTAAAAAACCTCCCTAGCCCTAAATGAAGGAAAAAGAGTGAACCTAGATGTGGAAAGTATCTTATACAAGTACAACTCTTAAATCAAACAAGACATACCCCAAACCACAACCCATCTCATACTAACACCAATACATTCCAAGCAGCAGTAGGTAATTAAAACAAAATGGACAGCAAATATTGATCTAAAGCAAACACAGCAGCAATGGAATGTAGAGACCAGAATCACCAAACTTGCTAAAACACGACATCATAACACCAAAACTTCATCAATCTTCAACCCAGCTCTACATCAATCCACACCCCAAATCATACTAACACCACCAAGCATCTATAAGTAATTATAACAAAATGGAAAGCAAATTTTGATATACCGCAAAACACAGCACCAATGGGATACAACATATCAGCAACAGATCAGCAATAGAAACCATATTCACCAAACCTGCTAAAAAAACACAACAACATAACACTGCATAACATTATAAATGAACTGTCAACACACGCCAAGAATGATAGACTGAGGACTTCGCACAAAATCTTAAACAACCGGAATCAACTTCGGCCATAAAACGTTCACCCAAAACCCTATCTGAATCAAGATTGTATTAAAAAAATCCACTGAAAAGACACTCCCCTTAAACCTTACTTTATTTCTACGCAGCCAAATATTCCAGATCAGACCAAAAAAACCCAATTCCCTTAAAGGTTGAAATTTGCTTCTGATTTTCTGATTAAAACATACCTCAAGCAAACCTTTAACCTTCATAGGGACCACTAGATTAACTTTCCATACACTACATCATCGTTTCCAAACAACATCGCAATGACACAAAGAGATTGAACATTGCAAATCATACCTCGCTTTTACAGCTCTATGATGACCGACAACCTTTGATGAACTGCTCTTCACACAAACGTTGAAACTTTTGGAGGGGTAAATTTATACCACACCAATTTCCAAATAGGATATTTCAGCTTGCCGACACAAGCCAACTTGTTACATAAAGATTTAGCATTGTAAGAACCATCTAGTGATCCTAACCATTTTAATTTATCATCACTAGGAGCTAAATTAACAGCTCTATTCAGGACTTGAATGAAATCACTCCAAAGAGCCATTTCCCAAATAAAAAGCAGTCTTTTTAATTCTATCTTCCACTCCCAAACTCCACAGACCCAATGACCAAACTCACAAATCTTTCTAACTTTATTAGTAGCTATCCGAAACAGTCTAGGAAAAGACTCTTTTAAAGAAACCAGTTATGTCCAATGATCAGACCAGAATTCATTTTGGAACCATTGCCCATCACGTATCTAACATCAGATAAAAATTCAGCCCCGATAGACACTATCGGGTTTATAATACTACGCCAAACCCATGATGATTTCTTAACATTTACAACCTTTGAAATAATCGAATTCTGATCATAATTATACTTTGTTACTACTATCTTTCTCCATAAACTATCCCCTTCCACACTAAACAACCAAATCCACTTGTTAAGCAAAGCTCGATTCCTCGAATTTACATTATATATACCCAAACCCCCCATACATTTTTGGCCCACAAATATTATCCCACTTAATCCAGTGAATTCCTCTCTCGCTTCTACCATTCTAAACAAAATTGCCTATACATTTGTTAATCCAGCGGCCACTTCAAAGATTTTTAGAACTCGCTTGAGATTCTTAATCATCTTGCCCCTTGCTTCCGAGAATATTAAAAGGGCATCTGCAAATTGAATGTGTGACACTACAACACTTCCATCCCCTACTCTAATTCCACCACAAAGACCAGTTTCAACCGCTTTCTTTAGCAACCCGATGAGTGCCTCTCCCACAACATTAAACAGAAAATGCGACAATGAAAAACCTTGTCTTAATCCCCTCCTTATTGAAAAATTTGAAGAAGGACAACCATTAACTAACACAACAATCGAAGGGGTCGAGATACACATATTTATCAATTTCCTCCATCTTCTGACAAAGCCAATTTTCTTAAGAATATAATTCAAGAAATTCCAATCGGCAGTATCATATGCTTTGCTAAAATCAGCCTTGAATAACACTGCTTCTTTCTTACTTTTAAACAAATCATCGATTACTTCATTCGCAATCAGAATACAGTCTATAATCTGCTTCCCAGCAATAAAAGCAAATTGATTTTCGCCAATGACTTCATTAATACAACTCGCCATCCTCTTAGCCAACAAACGAGCCACAATCTTGTACAAATAACCCACCAAGGATATAGGTCAAAGTTCTCAAGATTAGTGTCCTCAAGATTAGTTGCTTCAACTTTCTTCGGAATGAGGGCAATGAATGATTTGTTGAACGAAAAATCTTATATTTTGCCCTAGTAAAAATCAGCCATGAATTTCATAACATCCCATTTGATTACCTTCCAGAACATCTTAAAAAAATCCAAGTTGAATCCGTCCGGACCCGGTGCTCTTGAACCATCCGACGATTTTATAATAAACCAACTTCTTCCGAAAAAGGACTTTCAATACTCCTTCTAGTCGTAGCGTTTAACCTCTTGAAAGGTATATGATAACTCCGTAAAAATGTCATATTTGGACCTTTTCACTTAAGTTATTGACTGTCTTAGAGCTCATATAAGATCATATAGATGCATTTAGAAGCATATAGTTGCATGTGGTGAAATTATGTTTGCCGCGACATTTTATTTTGTAATCAGTCCTGCTTTATGGGGAAGGTGTTTTGTTTAATGATGTGCATGATTTGGGAGCAAGGATAAGCAAAAGGTAATTGACATGACATGATGAGACTACTGAGAAAAATACGATTGCCGCGTAATCTCGGACGACATTTCTGGGCAGAAAAAGTCAAAGAATATAGTTTTAGTAAGAGCCAGCTGTTATGGCATAAAAAGTGCTTTCTGTAATCAGCATTAAAGGAGGGGCTAGTTACCATTTTTGCACCGACTCTCACATAAAAGGAATGAACTTTAAGGTGCTAGTGTAATTTTAACACAAAACCCTAAGTTCATTCTCCCCTATAAATAGAAGATGAAG